AAAAAAATTATACCTTTTAAAAATGACATTCTCCTTTACTGCTGATGAGGAATGGGGATATATTTGCAGACTATTGTGCAGATGATTTTATTTTTTTCATTTAATGTCTAAATTGATCAATAAGTATTTACTGAGTACCTAAAGAAAAACACCAAAATTTCCACATGTTCTTTTTGCCCCATTACCATCCCTTATTCTCTGGCTGCTGTTGTGGTGGGTTTGGCTGGCCTAGCTACCAGCTAGATAGTGTCATATAGTGGATAGTATCTTGACTTAGGTTATGATACAATTGAATTCTAGTCTCAGTCCTGTTATATATTTCCTATATGTGACTTTGGACAAGTCACCTCTACTTCCTTGGTTCCTGTTTCCTCATTTATAACATGAATAATAATAATAGCTAGCATTTATATAGAGCTTGGAGATTTGCAAAGCAGTTTACAAATACCCCATTTTATCCTCATAATCCTAGGAGGCAGATGCTATTATTATCCCCATTTTACATATGAGGAAACTGAGGCAGACAAGTTAAATGACTTGCCCAAGGTCAAACAGCTAGTAAGTATCTGAGGGTAAATTGAACTCAAGTCTTCCTGATTCTAATTAACAGCAACGGTAACAACAATCTAGTGCTCTATCCATTGCAGCTTCTGGGTGACTGAAGAGCTTGACTTAGAAGACTTCTGAGGTCCTCTTTGGTTCTAAATCTAGGAAACTGTTTTTAGATGACTTCTGCATCCCCTTCCACCTCTGGTGACCTTTGAGCTTCTACTGCTCTGGCTCTGTTTTGGCCACAATGGGGGGGGGAGGGGGGGAGGGTGTGGGGAGGGAGGATTCCTGTAATTGCTTTGCCTGGATTGTTCCTCTTTCATTCAGCAGCTTTGGGAGGGCAACCATCGGCTGCCTCAGGAGTTCTTCCAGAAAACCACCCCACTGTTTGTCCCCAGAGACTTTCAGACCCAGAGAGAAGTGAGCTATGAGTTTTTCCTGGAGCCAGGCACTTACCTCATTGTTCCCTGTACCTCTGAGCCTTGGCAGGAATCTGAATTCATACTAAGAGTCTTCTCCAGGAAGCATGCCTTATAGTAAGAAAGCCAATTGGCTGCTCTCTCTGTCTCTGTGTGTGTGTGTGTGTGTGTGTTGTGTGTGTGTGTGTGTGTGTGTGTGTGTGTGTGTGTGTGTGTGTGTGTAGGAGGAGTGAGGCTTTTGCATGGCCTCTCTAGTGATGGGGATAAAGGGAAGAGAATAGAATAGACAGGATGAGCAAGATGGAGAAGATAATGACTAAGGAAGGCATGGGATGACTTTTGTGGGTTTATAACTCCTAATGTATGGTTCCTTGCATATAGCAAGCTGCCAGTAAATACTTTCAGATTCATTGGTTGCAGTGTGGATCCTAAAAACCATGAAAGTTACAAGGACTTCAACACAAGTCCTAAAGATTATACATCAAAGACTTCGCAGACTAGGAAAGAAAGGGGGAAGGCAATTGAAAAAGAAATGGAAAAAAAGGTTAGGAAAAGGGGAACAGATAGGTGGCAGCTGTCTGTAGGAGGCAGAAGGAGGAAGAAGAAATGGGAGGAAGGAGGTAATACATTAAAATGTTCTCTGTAGTTTTCCCTTTCCCTCAATGTTCCTGAATGCATCTTTTTTCTTCTATTCTCAGTGAAATGGGCAGCAATTGCAGCTTTGTCCTCCCTAAGGTGAGTTGATAGGAGGAAGTTTGATCAACTTGGAGTCTCTTTTACCGTTTTTAGTTTTGGATGGAAGCTTCCTCTCTTTGCTTTGCATTAAACAGCAACTGTGCCATATTGACTAATGGCCATCTATCTCTGATCAGACAGACTGAGAAAGGTGGCGGCTGGGCTGCGTACCTCAGAGGAGGTACATTTGGTTTCAGTACCTTTTCAAAGCAACTCAGTCCTTGGTATCCAGGTAGGGATGAGCCAAGTGTCTTGTTTTTTCTCCTTTGTCTCTTTATGGTCCATTTCAACCATTTCAATTATTGGTAGGTTCTTAAGGAAAGGGAAGGCACAGACTACAACTGTTTGGGTGTCCATGGGGGAAGTAAGCATTTATTAAATGCCTACGTTGTGCTAGGCAGGCACTGTGCTAAGTGCTTTACAAACAGTATCTCATTTCTACCAAGGTAGAAGAATTATTAAGAGAAAAGCTTGAAAGTCATATATTAACTGAAATGTTTATTTTATATTTGAGTTTAGAATCACAGAACATTAGAGCTACAGGGGACCTTAGGGATCATAGAGCTAGAAACAGAAAGGATTTCAGTGGCCATATAGTTGTACTTCTTCATTTTACAGTTGAGGAAACTGAGGCCCAGGGTGAATAAAGGATTAGCTTGAAGTCACACAAACAGCTAGCATCAGAGTCTGGGTCACTTAGTCCAACCCACCCATTTTACAGATGAAGCGACCGAGACCCAGAGAAGTGAAATAACTAATCCGAAGTCACACAGCAAATTACTGGCAATGCTAGGACTAGGACCCATGCCTCTTGACTTCTGGTCCAATGCACTTCATTTATTTATCTACTTCACTGCTATTCTATTACCATGGATAATAAAAAAAAAAGCCCCCCCCAAGACAAGAATGACATTTCCCCCCTAAAAAAATCAAAAAGCTTTCCCAACTTTCTTTAAAGATATTTTCCTCACAATTCACCTTTAGGAAGCATTAGCCTCTTCTATACAGATGGAAAAACTGAGGGCTAAAAAGTGATCAGCCTAGATGAGTCAATGTTAGGTAGCCCCCACATTCCTAGGTCAGAACTTAAGTCCCACTGGTCTACAGTTTATGGGCCATTCTGAATAAACAAGCTGCCTCTCTGTATAGTTAGCAGAAAGAACAGGGGATTGAGAGTAAGAGAATTTGGGTTCAAATTCTCAAAGTCATTGCCTATCTGTGTAAAGTTGTACAAGTCACTTAAACTCTTGGAGTCTCAGTTACTTAGTCTGAAAAAATGAGGGGGAAAGGCTACATGAACTTAAATGTCTCATTCATGATGGTATGGTCACAGGGACCCCTAACAAAGCCGTCAGTGCAACGATGTAGTTCACGTGGGTGAAGTCCTAGGTCAAATGTGAGTGCAGGGGATATCAACTCCTAACCAGATGTTTTCAATTAAGTGGAAAGATTAACTCTTGGCTTTTCAGTAAAAAATAAAATAAGGACTAAATAAAAGGATGAACAGTTGAGAAACAGGGAAAGTGAAAGGTTAGAGAGGATTTGGAAGAGATCACTGCCATCCCTCTTTTTCTCTCATGGGTGGAGATGGTTGGCAGTTCTGAGGAAAAACCAAAGCTTCTGTCTCTCAGGAACTCCATCCCTCACCTCCAAAGCACTGAGTGAAGGCAAAAGATGAGGAACATCTGGGACAGGTGAGGAAGTACCTACACTGTCAATGAATGAGCCAATGTTTGCATTTCTTCCTGCAGGAGATAGTAGACAGATATGAAGGGGAGGAGAAATTCTTCACTAAACTGTTTGAAAAAGTAAGTGGACCTCCTGTGGATGGACAGAGAGAACAGGGCAGAGGTTAAAGGGGAGCAGCTGTTCTTGCTAAGCTATATGCTTGACCCCCAGATATAAGCTGGACTCAGCTACCTTCTCCCAACCTTTTACCCCATTTGAAGGGGTATGAGAGTAGGGGTTGTTAACTTGGAGTGCATGAACTTTAAATATATATATATATGGTTTAAATATAAAAATATTTTTAAAATATATGTTGTTAACTATTTTTCAATATAGTTTCCTTTGTAATCTCATGTATTTTTTTATGTATTTGAAAATATTCTGGGAAGGGGTCCAGAGGCTTCACCTTTCAATAATAACCCTTTGGATGTTTATCAGATAAGATGAATAAACACAAAATTGACCCCTGAGAGGATGAACCAGGATAGGACATTCTTCATGGAGAAAAAAATCTGTCAACAAGCATTTATTTAGCCCCTACTATGTGCCAGGCATTGTGCTAAGTATTGGAGATACAAAGATAAAAACGTGGGGCAGCTAGGTGGCGCAATGAATAGAAAACTGGCCCTGGAATCAGGAGGAACTGAGTTCAAATCCAGCCTCAGACACATAACACTTACTAGCTGTGTGACTGTGGGCAAGTCACTTAATCCCATTGCCTAGCCAAAAAAAAAAATTTTTAAAAATATAAAAATGAGGCCATCACTGGAGCTTCCATAGAGCCACTGGACAGTCAAGAAGCTTACACTCTTCTAGGATGGGAATGACAGGCTGTGAGGAATCAGGTACAAAGTATGAGGGTGCCTGTCTAGGTGCGCTAAATACAGTCTTTGCTCACTTGGTCATTTGCAGACAGTTCCCCAGTCCCAAGAACCCTATAGTAGACAACCTGGCAAAGGAAATAGCTGTGAAAGTCTAATATATCATTAACTACAGAGAAGCTAAATTTGATTAGAAGCATGGCTAAGAATTCTGCAAGACTGTGATCTGATATTTAAGGATTGTCATCCTAACTGAAAGGTTCATGAATCTCTTCCTTATGTTATTAACACAATAAGGCCCTTTTAACCGTAGGGTCTTAGATTTAAATGTACAACTTATCTGTCTCCTATTCAGATATTGATTTGCCTTTGGCATTTCACTAAATTAATCTCCAGGAACTAGACCTGAAGCTTCACCTTTTATTTACAGTGAATTTTCTCTGTCTCCCCTGCAGCTTTCCTGCTCTAGGCTAACTATCTGCACTTGATTTACGATATAACCTCTTTGGGTTTTTTAATATAATTTTTTAAAATTGAAAAATCTATTTTTTTTTCTCTCACAGGCTTCTTTCTTTCCCCTTTCCTCTCTCCCTTCCTCTCCCAAAACAAAGAAAAAAGGAAAACAAAAGCCCTGTAACAAATAAGCATAGTCAAGCAAAACAAATTCCCACATTGGTTATGTCTAAAATTCTTATGTCTCATGTTGCACTCTGACTCTATTACCTCTCTGTCAGCAGGTAGGTAGCATACTTCATCATTGGTAGTGGGACCTCTTTGTAAAAGTCCTAACTCCAGATTTCATTGTCAGTCAAACACAAGTTTGCTGCTGCTTTCTCTGTAACAAGAAAGCCTGGCTAAACAGGTGCTTTTCCTGTCTATCTGTTTGCTCTCAAGCCCCAAAGAGTTCCTACTCAGAAAAGGCTGTGAAACTGTGCTGAATAGAGACTGGAGGGGAAAATTCCAGTGGTCAAGAGTTTGATTTGACACATGATATCTCATAGTGAGCTTCTAGTAGTCAAATCTGATACAGCTAAGCATCTGTTAAGAACTTCTTTTTTGGCGAGGCAATTGGAGTTGAGTGACTTGCCCAGGGTCACACAGTGAGTGAGTATCATGTGTCTGAGGCCAGATTTGAACTTAGGTCCTCCTGACTTCAGGGCCAGTGCTCTATCCACTGCACCATCTAGCTACCCTAAGTACTGTGCTAGGCACTGAGAACACAAAGGATAAAAAGAGAAAATAATCCTTCTTTGGGGAGCTTACATTCTATTGGAGGAATAAAATTTGTACACAATTAAGTACACATGTGATAGTTTTCAAAGAAGAAAATGAATGTTAACAACGAAAAGGATCAATCCAGAAAGACTTCCCGTCGTAGATGACACATGAACAGAGTCTTGAAGGAAGACTCTTAAGAGGTAGCTGTGAGGAGTGCGTATGCAGAGGTGGGAGACAGAGGGCTACGTCTAGGGAACAGCAAACAGGCTAACATGCCTAGAATGTAGGGTTCATAACAGAGAATACCATGAGCCAAGAAAGGGAGGCTGGAGTCACTTAGTTCTTTATCGCTTTATGTTCTATCTTCACTAACGATAGATAACTCTCCTCTTTTGTCCCTCCTTTCAGAACCCAGAAATAGATGCAATCCAATTGCAGAAGATTCTGAATAACATGACCTGGACACGTGAGTGTTCCCAACTCGTTCTGTGTGAAGGAAAGTTCCAAGTTAGAGATTCATGGAAAATTGGAATTTTCCTCTCTGGTGGTGGAATGTCATCCTTTGACCTCACTGTGTTGACTTGAGCACACACCAGACCCACGCACTGGCACAACAGTGGAGGCTTTCTTACAATCATAGAAGCTCAGAGACGGAAGGGGGCTCAGAGCAAATCTAGTCCAATCCATACCCAATCTGGAATCTCCTCTACAATATATATAGATATATATATATATATATATATATATATATATATATATATAACATGTATATATATATATAATGTATATATATATATATATATATATATATATATATAACATGTATATAATGCGTACATATATGCATATGAATTATCTTTATAACATCTAGCCTATAAAATATAGTGCGATTTCCTGTTGTTAAAGGCTTTGAACTGCATTAAGGCTTTTGGAACACCCTGTATGTTCTCACTGGTAGACCTCCAGGGGTTGAATACTCCTGATCTCTGTAGGTGGCCCATTCTGTTTTTAGACAACTAATTATTAGAGAGTTTTTCCTCATGTCAAGCTGAAATCTGCCTTTCTGTAATTCCCATGCTTTGATCAGTGTGATTCCCGTGCTTTCTGGCAAAAAGGCTAATCCCTTTTCCATATGACTGACAATTATAATACAACTATCATGTCTCTCTTAAGTCTTATATTTTATAGGCTAGATGTTATAAAGATACATTCATATACATATATTTACACATTATATACATATATGTGTGTATGTGTATATATGTATATGTATACATATATGTGTGCATACCTAGTTCCTTCCATCAAACGTCATACCACAAATCTGTATCAACCATCTTCCTTTGAGTAAGCTCTAGCTTGTCAATGATGTTCAGCATGTAATAGAGGTTTGAAAGCTGACTGGCATCCTGAGATTTGTAGTTCAGAAGGACAAGCATTCTCTTCTCAGCCCTGACAGTTTCTTTGTTGATTTTTTTTTAACCCAAGTGCAGGAATTTACATTTTTCCATATTAAATTTTATCTTATTAGACTTAACCCATTGCTCTAGTATATCAGAATCTTTTTAAAAAATCTTAATTCTGTGATTGAACATATTAATTCTTCCTCTAGCTTTATATCATCTGAAAATTTTATTAGCATGTCATCTATGTCAGGGCCCAAATCATTAATAAAAATGTTGAACAGAACAGGGTCAATGAAAGATCACTGCAACACTCCATGAAAATAAAAGATATCCCTCCAGGTTGGCATCAATCTATAAATCCCATTCTGAGGGTCTGGTTCTTCAATGAGTCTCAAACATACTTAATTATACTACTTTGAAGCAGTGTTGGAAATCTTCACTGGCTTTCTTAGGTAGTATATGTAAATATTTTGATAGATGAATTATAAAGAATAATTATTTTGTTCATTTTACTACTGTGGGAGATATTACTGTGGGATGTAGATTTTTTAAAAATTGAATTGTTGAAGTAAGAAGCTGGCTGGTTAAAGAAGTCTAAAGTTTCAATACTTACGTGAGAGGCTGAATGATGCAGGGGGGGGGAGTATTTTTTTAACCAAGAATTTATGCCAGCAGGTAAGCACTCAAGTCATTTCTTCATTTCTACTATCGTCCATTATTGGAAATGAGCTTTAAGATAGCATTGACTGTACTCCGAGAACTATTGAATGGTGTTTGGTCAAAAGGGGCCTCTGTATATGACTGAGAAGTCCCAGTGATAATGCGACTTAAATGATTTTATACCAGGTTCCCTTTAAATCAGTCAGTACACAGATGAAGGTCTTTTATCATTATTGATATTAATTATAATTAATATGATTATTTAAAAATAATTAATAATAATACATCATTAACTCAGATAACTCTTTATGGTATAAACTCTGTGTTCTTAAAAACTATATAATGCTTTGGCAATATATCTATTACCCCACATTTAGCTTAGTTGTTTTGCTTTTAATGTACAAATAAATGAAGGTGGTATTCTGGTTTGGTAGCTGTTCACATTAAAAAAACAACAACTAGGAGTCTTAGTTGGCCACAGATTTATAGTAAGCCAACAGCGGAGTGTGAATGCTAAAAAAAAAGTTAGTGTCCCAAATATAGCAGCATAATTTAGTGGGCAGATTGGCCTTGGAGTCAGAAATTCTGACTTGGAATGTCAGTTTTGACACTTCAAAAGCTATGTGACTGGGGCAAGTCACTTTACTGAGACTCAGTTTCCTCTTTTGTAAAATGAGGATCATAATAATATTGTGCTTGTATTACATGCTTCATTGGGCTGGTGTGAGAAAAGTGTATTGTCAACCCTAAAGTGCTGTAGTAATGTGTGCTATTATGATAATATTTGTAATAATAACAATGGTCCCATAGTATGCTGAATGGACCAGATCACAATCTGTACTACTATGCTTAATTCTGTTTACCATATCTTAAAAGATATGCAGTGAACTAGAATGTGTCCAGAGAGGGTGACCAAGGTAATGAGAGATCTAGAAACCATGCTTTTTCTCCAGGCTCTATTCAGGCTCTGTGGTTGCTCAATCAATCAATATTTATTAGTATTTATTGTACTAGGCACTATGCTGAGCCTTCTTGCTCTTCTAATGACCTTATCATAATTACTGTCATTTGTAGAGTGTTTTAAAACTAAAATTTTCCAAGAATTCTACACACATTATGTCATTTCACACTCACAATCTTGTAAAGTAAGTCCTACAGGGATTATCCAATTTAATCCAAACAGTACAATTTATAGGCAAGTAAACAGAATCTCATAATGGTTAAATGGCTTGCCTATGGTCACACAGTTACTTAGTACCAGAGGTGAAATTTGAACCTAGGTTTTCCTGACTCTAAGGCCAGTACTTTTCTATAACATTTTCAGTGAAATGCTACTCAATCCATAAGGCCATCCCTCTGTTGTGTGCTCTACCCAGACTGTGACGAGGTTGCTGGTAATTTATCCAGTCTGTCTGGACATCCCCTGATGTTATCACACATGAGGAGACCAACATCCCTGTATGCTGCTATTTCTATTTACTATCAGAGCTAATCCCTGTCATCCCAATTTTCTCCATTTAATTGACCAGGACACAACTACCTTACTAGAGTACCAAAGGGAGTGGCCTCTTTAAAAAGGGCTGGCACAGTGGAAACTAGACAAAGAGTACCCTTACATAAATTCTTCCCATCTCTTTGCAGACCTGTCCAGCCTGCAGCCCACCTTCAGTATGGATGCTTGCCTAGGGATTCTGGCGCTGCTTGATGTATCTTTTCCAGCTCCAAGGAATGGAGGAGGGAGGAAGGAGAAAGGAGAAGGAGGAACGCTGCTCTCAACTTTCAAGATTCTTCACAGCTCTGAGATAGCCAGGAAGAGTGAGGCATGGTAGCAATGACTTAGGATTCCATCTGTAGTATTCCTGTGATTCCTCTCTTCTACAGATCAGATGGAGAGGGCACAGAGAAGTTACCCTTCATATAGAGGGTGGGCCATTGGAATCACGGGATCTGAGAACTAAAAATAACCTTAAAGATCATCTAATCCAACTTCCTCATTCTTCTTAAAGGAAACAAATACACGCACGCCTTCCAAAATTCTTCATTTGTGGATAGAGTGCCAATGTAGAGCCAGCAGACATACAATGGAATTCTTGCCTCAGACACTTACTAGAAGTATGATGTGGCCAAGTTACTTAACTTCCCAGTGCCCCAGTTTCTTCATCTGTAAAATGGAATCAATACCTGATATATCTACCTCAAAACGTTGTTGTGAAAATCAAATGCATTAACATTTGTAATGTACTTTGCAAATCTTACAGTGCTATGCGAATTTCAGTTACTAAGAGGAAGACAGACTAGCATAAGGAATAGAGTCCTAGACTCTAGAGTGTGGAAGACTAAATTCTTCCTTTGGTACTTACTTTGTGACACTGGGCAAGTCCTTTATACACACACACACACACACACACACACACATATATATATATACTGGTGAGATCAAGAAAGGCAAATAGAGTTTGAGCTAAGCTTTGAAGGAAACCAGAGATTGTAATCCACAAGATGAATGAATGTTACACAGATGGTTAAGGGCTCAATTATACTACTGTGTCTGGGAAGTTCCGTTGTTCTTTTTTGACTTGTCACTATTGACCTTGACACTTAACAAAGCTTAATGCTACAGGTACTGTGAGCATTCAAGAGTTTCGGTGCCTGTGGAAGCGATTGCTGATCTATCAGGTAAAAACAAATCTTCACCAAATTGAATTTTCTGATTTTATTGTTAGTGTGGTTGAAATGATTTAACATTGATTGAGTCTCCTAGTAGATCTATTTCTGCCATATAAAAAAATGGCACCCATTCTCAGAGGTTGTGTTGAATACTAAAATTAGCATTGGATTGTGCATCCGGAGACCTGGGATCCGTCTAGACCTGACGCTACCACTACCTAGACCTCCAGTAAATTACTTGACTTCTCTGAGTCTTAGGTTCTTTATCTGGAAAAAAATAGGGGAAGTGTCTAGATGAACCCCGAGGCAGGGCCCTTCCAGAATAAATATTTTACAACTCAGTTCTATGACACTGAAGAATGGTGGTCAGAAGCAGGATTTTAGGAATGATCTTCCATCATTCCTTTATCCTAGGAAACGGGACCTTAGACAAACTGAGCAGCTTGGTTTTTACAGGATCTTCTGGCGATTCTGGTGAATTTTAGACACAGGCCTTTGATACAGTAGTTCCTGTGAAAAAAGATAAGGGTACAAGAAAATTAAAGTAGAAAAATCCCAGGCATATAAAAATATTTATAATGGCACTTCTTTTTAGTAGAAAGAAACTAAAAACAAAGTGTAAATCCCTCATTTGAGGAATGGCTAAACAAATTGTGGTACATGGATGTAATGTACTGTGTTTCAAGAAACAATGAATATGAAGATTCAGAAAAACATGGCAAGCCTTGTAGGAACTGATCAGTAAAGTGAAGCAAGCAGAATTAGGAAAACAATATATGCAATAACTACAATCATATGGAAAGAACAACAACAATGAGATGAAACTTAATGCCATATAATCATAGAGATCAAGCCCGGCCCTGAAAAAGAGAGAGGGAAATGCAATTCCTTCCCTTCTTTGCAGACATGGGGAACTATGGGTATGGACCACTGCATGTACTGTTCTATTTGGTTGATGTACTTTTGGTGAACTTCTTTTTCTTCCTCTCTTTTTTTATTCTTTGTTATAATGGATAATATGTCTGGAGAGGAGAGAAGATTTGGGATATATTTGGAAATAAAGGTGATGTAAAAGCAAAAGTTATTAATTAAAAAAAAGATCAAGTTAAGGGCTCAGAAACTATGTCCTGCAAGGATTTGATGAAGGGACTGGGGATATTTGCCTTGAAAAAGACTTGGGGGCGGGAATATTAACTGTCTTCAAATACATGAAGGGGTATGTGGGAATAGATTTGTTCAGTGTGGCTCCAGAGGGAGAAAGTGAGGCTAAAAGAAAGAAAACCAGGAAGCAGATTTCTGGTCTTCCTAAGAAAAAACCTTTTCACAACGAATGTAGTCCCAAAAAATGAATAGGCCATGCCATACCCTTAAAACCCTGAAAGATAATCAAGTCTAGTCTTTTCATTTCATGGATGAGGAAATGGAGGCACAGAGTGGTGAAGAGATTTGTCCAAAATCACATAGGTCAGGGGTGGGGAACCTGAGACCTTGAGGCCACATATGACCCTAAAGGGCTACACTTGAAGACCTAGAGGGTCACATATAGCCTTAAGGCTGCAGGTTCCCCACCCCTGACATAGGTCATAATTGGCACAGCCAGGATTTAAACCCAGGTCCTCTGACTCCAAAGCCAACATTCTTTCCACTATTTCCATTGGTCAAGGTAGAGAGCCCTGCATCACCGGTGCTATAGAAGGAATTTCTGCATGGGGTAGGAAGCTAGACTAGAGGAATTCCAAGGTCCCTTTCGACTCTCAGGCCTAATGATCCTGCTTTGGTTTTGTTCCTAACAGGAAGTTTTCCACAAACAAGACAAATACAAGTCAGGGTTCCTGGAGTCAGGGCAGCTGCGGGCTGCTGCTCAGGAAGCTGGTGAGTTCTAGTATGGTTAATTTTTTTTTTCTAGATGTCATTGATGCCAGCAGCATCCAAGAAAGTCCCAGGAGAAGCAGTTTGCAGATTGGTGGATGTGATGCTCTTGTCTTCTAGGCTGGTCCAAAAATCCAGAGAACTCAGTAAAGGCAGATATATTCAGTCAGGAAAAATTCATGCTATCAGAATTCAGTGTCCAAAAATAAAATGTCATTTTTCCTATTGGCTCTGTTAAACCTAGAACAACAGACTCATTGGGGAAAGCATTTAATGCAAGATTATTAAGAAGCTACTAAGTATAAGGCACCCTTTTCGTCTCCTTGCTATAGATTAGCTCATATGCTGATGGGGGTGGGTTTATAATGTGCCAATATAAATAAATAAAAGGGCATTTGAGTACCAACAACTGGGAGGATCGGGAAAGATTTCATATAAGAAGTGGCACCTGACATGTGTCTCAAAGGAAGGTAAGTATTGTAAGAGGTATACATGAGCTGGGAGTATATCCCGTGCTTGAGGCATAGCCTGATGGCACAGAAATGAGAGGCAGGATGCCAGGTTCTAATAGAACTTGGCTGGAATGAAGAGTGTTTGAAGGGGAGTAGTGCCTAAATGAACCTGGAAAGTTTGGTAGGAGTTAGATTGTGGATGGCCTTATTAGCCTCTATTTTAGAGTGGATAGTGCACTAGGCCTGGACTCGGGAAGACTCATCTTCCAGAGTTCAAATCTGGCTTCAGACACTTACTAGCAGGATGACCCTGGGCAAGTCACTTAACCCTGTTTGCCTTAGTTTCCTCATCTATAAGAATTAACTGGAGAAGGAAATGGCAAACCACTCCAGTATCTCTGCCAAGAAAACCCCTAAATGGAGTCACAAAAAGTCAGATACGACTCAATAAAAATTGTTATCTAGATACAATGGTGAGCCCCTGAAGACTTCTGACAGTGGAGGGATGTGGTTAGAATGGTGCTTTAATAAGATTAATTTGGCAGTTGTATGCAGGCTGAACTAGAAAGAGGGAGAGACTGTAAGGAGGGAGGCCAATATGAAGGCTATCATGATGGTGTAGGTGAGATGTGATGGCCTCTTTTCCTTCTGCATTTCAATGATCTCATCAATTTCTAGAGATTTAATTATCATCTCTAGGTAGATGCCTCCTGGATTTATCTAGTCCTAGTCTCTCTCTTGGGTTCATTCCAGCTTCAGCCCAGAATCTCTAATTGGATGTCCCTAAGAAATCTCAAACTCAAAATGTCCAAAGCATAGCTCATCTCTCCACCCTCCACCCCAAACCTACGCCTTCTTCCTAACATTCCCGTTTCTAGTTAGTGAGTCATCAGCTTTCCAGGCGTCCAGATTCAAATCTTGGCGTCATCCTTGATTCTTCCCTCCCCCACCTCTCCTATCCAGTTAGTTTCTAAGCCTTGTTGATTCCACCCACACAACCTTTTCCATCTCTTCCCCTTTTCCTGTTTTTGCTACCAACCCCCCCCTTCATCCCTGCTCAACAGAAGAATGATTGCTATTGTTTCCTAATTGTTTGTCTTGTCTCAAGTTTCTTGCCTTTCCAATCCTCTACACGGCTTTCAGAGAGCCCCAGCAGCTCCCTATGGCCTCTGTGATAAAAAATAATAACTAATAATAATAGTGAGGCTAGCTAACATTTATATAGATCATTTACTGTGTGCCACTACAAATCCCTGTTTGGTTTTTCAGGCCTTTTACCATGTGGCTCTAGCCTCGGGATTCAGACTTATTACCCTTTACTCCCCCTCACAGATTGTGTTTCAGCCATACCAGCCTGTTTGCTGTTGTACTTGCTAGGTGGTGCAGTGGGCAGGGAAAAACCTGAGTTCTTACACAGTCTCAGACACTCACTAGCTGTGTGACCTTGGGAAATCATTGAACCTTTGTTTATCTCAGTTACCTTAACTGTAAAAGGGGAATAATGATAACACCTATCTCCTAAGGTGATCATGAGGATAAAATGAGAGAATATTTGTAAAGTGCTTAGCATGGTGCCTGGCATATAGTAGGTGCTTAATAAGTGCTTGCTAGCTTTCTGTCCCTTGCACATGTTCTCTCATCTTCTGTCTCCACGTGTGGAATGCTCTCTTTTCTTCACCTGACCCTCTTAGAATCCCTGCCATTGTTGAGTTGTTCAGTCATATCCAACTATACACGACCCCACTGACCGTAGCACACCAGGCCCTTCTATCCTCCACTATTTCCCACAGTCTGTCCAAGCTCATGTTGATTGCTTCCACAACATACCTATCCATCTCTTCCTTACTGTCCACTTTTCCTTTTGCTTTCAATCTTTCCCAATATCAGGGTCTTTTTCAATGAGTCCTGTCTTCTCATTATGTGGCCAAAGTATTTAAGCTTCAGCTTCACTTAGAATCCCTACTTTCTTTCAATACTTAGTCAAGCACCATCTCCTAAATGAGATCTTTTCTAGTCCCAGTAGCAACTGGGGTTTTTTTTCCCCTAAGCAATGGGGTTAAGTGACTTGCCCAGGGTCACACGGCTAGTGGGTCCTTCTCCTGCACCTGAAACTACTTTACATTTACTTTGTGTGTATTTTGCATTTATTAGTGTGTATATTAGGTCCTCCCAATAGAAGGTAAGCTCCTTGAGAGCAGCTCTTAGGCAATGATGGTGTGTGAAAGAGAGCAATATGAAATAAGCCTGGAAAGGTAATAAGGGTTGTTGTTGTTCAGTTGTTTCTGACTCTTCATGACCACGTGGACTATAGCATGCCAATACTGTCCATGGGGTTTTCTTGGCAAAGATACTGGAGTGGTTTGCTATTTCCTTCTCTAGGGGATTAAGACAAATACAGGTTAAGGGACTTGCTCAGGGTCACAGAGTTAGTATGTGCATGAGGCCAGATTTGAACCCAGGTCTTCCTGACTCCAGACATAGAATTCTATCCATTGAGCTGTCTAGCTGCTTCTTGTTAATGAGAGTGCTGGCTTTAGAATCACAGGCCCTGGGTTCAAATATTGGCTCAGGTACTGATCACCTGTGTGACCACATGAGTGAGTTACTTAATCTCCCTAGGCCTCAGTTTACTCAGCTGTAAAATGAAAGGGTTGAAATAAATCACCTTAAAGGTCCCTTCCAACTCAAGATCTCAAAAATGGGAGTTTCATTTTTTTGGCCTTGTATTTCAGTAGCCTTTCCAGTAGCACGGTGTCAGACCTAGACCAATATCTTAATAAATAATTGTTCATTGATGGATGGAGGCAAGAGATGATGTAAAGATAGACTAACACTCTTAGCACCTGAGGCAACTAATAAGCTGGTGTACTGGATAGAAAACAGGACCTGGAGTCAAGATGATCTGAGTTTGACTCACTTCCTAGGTGGGTGACCTTGGGTAAGTCACTTAACCTCTTTGTGACTCAATTTCCGCATCTCTAAAAATGGGAATAATAATAGCACATTCTTCACTGAGTGGTTGTAAAGATCAAAGGAGTTAACACACTTAAAGTGCTATATAAATGCTATTACTATCATCATCATCATCATCATCATCAATGTGCTTATCAATGTTTCCTTCCAAAAGGAATTTTACTGAGTGATGAAGTGTGCAACCTAATGGCTATTCGATATGGCAACTCTAACCGTAAGATCGGCTTTGAGAACTTTGTCTACTTCATGCTTCGAGTGGAGAATGTGGAAGGTGAGGTACCACAAGCTTGTACTGAACCTTCTACTCTATCACTTTCTATATCTTGTTCTGGGAAGAGTAATCAAATCAGTGTTCCCATTGCTACTGGAAATCATGTGATAATTACCTTATGGTTCCAGTCACCATCCCGGTGGTTTCCCAAGCCAACATATCCATCTCTCACCAACATTTCTTCATATACGTCTCCTCCCTTTTCAATGCAATCTCCTTAAAGGAAGGGGTTATCTTACTTTTGTAACCCTAGTACTTAGCAGAACACTTACCAAACAGAAAGCTCTTTATACTTGCTTTTTCATTTCATTCATCTACCTATTCATCCATCCATTAGTTCACCTGTTTGGACTGGAACACAACTGGAAGTGACATTTGGGATATTTTCCAGGACATGACAGTATGAGGCCAAAGACCTCAAAGACCACGAAAAAAAAGATGGAGAGAGAGTTTTCTTCTTATCGTCACACCCTGGAAGGAACATCCTTCTGCAAGTGAAGGGAAAGAAAAGCATATTTTTCAGTTATGAGGCAGAATATGGAAGGAGGTGGAATGATTAATCAAAGTGTACCTGATCTGTTAACACCCACTTTCCAAGGAAAATTTTAGTATCAGGTTCCACCATCATTGAACCCCCTTACGTTTTTGCTTTTGCACAGAAGCCTTTCGAAACTTGACCCAGGATGACAAAGGAATATACCTTTTGAAGTCTGAGGTAAGATAGTTCCTAATTCACCTACTCCCACCCACCTAGATGAATATAGCTCAGGTAATTATGGGGAAAAGTGTCTTCTGGTACTCTTAACTCTGAATTAGGAAAACCTGATGGCTAATACCAAATGCTAACTCTGCCCCTTCCATCAGCCCTTGAACCTATTTAAAACAGAGAGAATACACCTCATTTCCAGGGGGAATTGCCTTAGTCCCTTCCCTATAGAGACATTGTTCTCATTGTCTGGGATGTCCAAGGCCAAACTGCATAGGTGAGATTCAGCATAGTTTTAATTATGATCATTCAGTAACACCAGGAAGACTTCATGGAAACCCAACATATGAAAGGCTGTAATGTCGGCACTTTAATTTTTCTCTTTATGCTATAGTGGATTTTTTAAATAAGAAAGCAACATGCCCTTTTCAAACTAAGTGCTGGGGTTTCTCTTACCATGAAGAGAAGTCACATGAAGACTGATTTAGAGAGTTGAAAGGACTTGTCCCAGTCTTTAAGCCACTCCAACTTCTGAACGTGACGTAACTACTAAAGACCATAGTGACCTGGAACAGTTGATGAATTTCTTTAATATTACTCTTTCATTTACTGATCCCATCCCTCTGGTTCTTAGGACCTCCTTCTAGTCCCCATCTCCATTTCCATAGAGATAGATACACTGAAGGGAGTTAGTAGAACAAAGGTATTTATATGGTCCACATCACAGATGGATAGGAAGAGAAATGCCAGGCTTCTGGAGATTATGGAGCTGGTAACTACTTACCTGCTGAGAGAAGCAGAATCAGGCAGTTTAGTATAGTGGTTACATAATTTCAGAGTCAGGAAGACCTGAGTTAACATTTTGCCTCTGATACATGTTAATTATTTGATTCTGGACATATCACCTAACTTCTCAGTATCCCAGATAACTCCAAGACTGCCCATTTGCTCTGCATTGCTCAGATTTCCTCATCAGAAGTTCCCTCTACCAATGAAATCACAGAGCAGGACAAAAAGAAATGGACACTTTATCCTGAGCTTTCCTTTGGTGCCGTTATTGTTTCATTATTAATAGTAACAAGAGTAAATACAATCATATTTCACAGAGATGAGGGAAATACATTTCATGGACATTTCTCTTTTCTATTGTTGTCATAAAGGAATCATAATTCATATATGTATATCAATCAGCTGAATGCATCCAATAACCAAATATTTTTGATGTACAATCTTGGATTTCTACCATAGTCTGTATATCAAGTTGAATTCATGAAAAATAAATTTACGTTGCAAATGAAGTACAAAGTCAACCTGTATCTCACTTGCCATCATTCATAGGTACCATGTGGGTTAACTATACTTTAGGCTGATTTATCTTTAGTATCATGTGAGGCTTCCTGTGTGACTAATATGAAAACATTCAGAGAAACGGCCAGCACCATAGCAGAAGAGTGTGCTGACACAAAGAGTAGCTGGCTGGTTCAGCACTGAGGTAGCAGATAGCAGCAAAGTCTCCCAGTAGGGCTGAGTTCACTGACACTGCAGGGTCATGCTGGGGCAGCATGGTTGGGAATATTTAGTGAAGAAGAAGAAGGGCAATCACCAGTACTAACACATTTAATTAAGCTGGCAGAGTTTTGTGCCTTTAGGCAGTTTGGATTGTTCACAAAGTGAGAGTAGGGAGACAGTAGGACTCAGTGGAAAAACCACTGACTCTGGAATCAGAACACTATTTGAGCTTGTAGTTAACCTCTATGGGCCTCAGTTTACCCCATTTGTAAAATGGGGAGGTGGACTTGAGAAACTCTTAGGTTCTTTACAGCTCTAGATTAATGATCTTAAGGTTTGGATGAATTTCTGAGGCATGGGAAGGGTACCACTGCAGGACCTGAGGCTTCTAAGAGGATTTTCCCTGACACGAATGTGCTTTTGTGCACTAACTAGAAAGGAAACAACTGGGAAGAAGGGAGTGAGGGAGAGAGACAGAAAGAGTGACAGAGACAGAGAGAGGGAGGGAGGGAGAGAGAGAGAGAGAAATCTTCCCTTGGATGCCCTATTGCCTTACGACAATTCTTAGTACTATTGCTTTTTGGCAAGGAGTCAGTATTTTTATAAGGCCAAAACTTCAGATGAGAAGGCCTTTCAGAGACAGCTGAAGTGGTATTTGTGATAATATACAGAGATTCTGTCACATCATCTCTAGAGTATGTTTTGAATTATTGTTGTTGCTAAGTCATGTCCAACTCATTTGGGGTTTTCTTGGCAGAGATACTGGAGTGTTTTGCCATTTCCTTCTCCAGCTCATTTTACAGATGAGGAAACTGAGGCAAACAGGGTGAAGTGACTTGCCCAGGGTCACATAGCTAGTCAGTTTCTGAGGCCAGAATTGAACTCAGGAAGATGAGTCTTCCTGATTCCCAGCCTAGCACTCTATCCATAGTACTACCTAGCTGCCCATGGTACCTAGAGACCTGACGCTTAATTATAAAACTATCCATTAACTTCCTTCCTGGAGGTGTCCCAGGTGTAGTGATCACGGAATTATAGATTTTGAGTTAGAAGGGACCTTTGAGACCACTTAGCCTTCATTTTATAGAAACTAAGTCCTAGAGAAGTTAATTGATTTACTCAGTGTCACCCAGGTCACAAGTAGCAGAGCCAGGATTTGAACTGAGGCTCTCCATCTCCAAATCCAGTGCTCTTAGGGGATCCCCTGCACCATTGAGTCAGGCTCACCATGCTGTGTATAGATATTGAATGAGTGACCGCTGTACTTCCAAGTCTTATCCTTTACAACTTCGATTGTTTTCCAGTGGTTGATGATGACCCTATATTGCTGAGAAGTCTGGAGCCCAGTCTGACTGCACCAACCCATGCCATGGATTCTACAGATATTCTTATCTGCATATGTAACAGAACCTAACACTTAACTCATCTGAGATTTGGAAATGTCTGAGATTTTGTCAGTTGGTGGATACACCCTCCAACAATGCAGATCACAGCCCTTCATGCTCCATGAGTTGCCTTGGCTGAAAACATGATTACCTGATGGCCAACCTGATATCGAGTCTAGCTAGGTTGGCTCTTATAAACAGCCATTGTCAGGCTTATTTCTAGATGGGTGAGGCCTCCTAGAGCTTGCACTGTGCTGGAATACTACTCAGGAATAATTAAGCCCTTTATGATCTATGCTTCCAGATTGATTACACATCACTGACTGCCCCCACCCTTCTTACTCTCCATTCCAACCTAACCAGCCTACCATTCCACTTCTTACATCCTGCCTGTGTGTAGTCTGTCTTCCATGCTCGGAATAATCTCTGCTGCTTGGAACACCTGGCTCTCTGATTGGTTCAAGTGTAACCTCCAGTTAAAGGCCTTTCTTAATTCTACCAATTGTGGGTACTCTGCTGTTAAAATTATCTTCTGTTTACGTTGTAATATTTTGTAATTATATATTGTCGTTCCCCCCGCCCCAATCAAATGTAAACTTATGTGAAGGTAAGAATTGTTGCATTTTTTTTTATCTTTCTATCCTCAGTGCTTTTTATACTGCCTGTAATAGTAAGTTCTTAATAAATGCTCATTAAATCGAAAGGAGAATCCTTGTATGCTTCATGCCATCAGAGTAAGTCATTAATGTAGGTTGACTTATTTGCCACTTTTATTTTCAGATCAGCATCTCAACAACACCTATTTCTGTGCTCAGAAGAAATCTGTCTTCAAGATCTCACCTTTGCATTGGAAATAAGGGGAAGGAGTGGTAGAAAGACCTCTGAATTTGAAGTTAGAGAGAAATGGGTTCAAATTCTCTCTATCACATAATAATTGTGTGATTGTGGGCAAATCATTTAGTCTTTACAGGCCCCAGTTTCCTCATTTTAATATAAGGACAATCATTTAACTATTAATAGTGCAATGCAATACAATTAATAGTATAATTATAAACCTGTATTGTTTACTTTAGGACCAAATAACATAATGTGCAAATGTTTTGCAAATCTTAAAGTGCCATACAGATAGGCTCTGAGAATAAACTTGACCATTATTATAACTAATAGTATTACTTATAAAAGTATACTTTCTAAAGCCTTGTCTGTCTTTTTGAAGAAACAAAGTTTCTCACAAAGGCCATTTGTCCTTCCCAATGTCCCCTACTAGACTATAAGCAGCTCTATTATCTGATCAATGCAACAGAATAAACTCACTGCTTTGCAGATATCCACAGACAAAAAACACAGACTGACATGCCAGAGAGTGAGTTTTCAAAAGTGCATGAAATGCCCATTTGGGTTTCTGCAACAATGTTTGAACACAAGAACTCGTTTTATCACTTTTCTTTGAGAGTTACGTATCTTTTCTGCTCCTTTGAGGAAGTGTCAAGGACATGCTTGTAATCCCAAGAGAGAATAGTTGACTCACCTTTAAATCACAGATAGTACTCTGAAACCTGGCCATCTGTCTTGTGAAGTACACTTTTGGTTCCAAGGGATATTTAAGTGATCTTGGGAAAAAATCCACCTCCAGAACTAGAAGAGCAATTCAGAGTGGCTGCCCTCTTGATGTTGGGTTAGAATCATCATCTCTCTGATGGACATAGGTCTTCTGACCATTTCACAATCCTATCCAAAAATCTCCGATGGCTCCCTAGTACCTTTAAGATCCTCCACTATCTGGCTCCAAACTACTTTTTGAGCCTTATTTCAAATGACTTCCCTTCAAATGCTCTATAATTTAGTCAAAATAAATTGCCAGCTGTTTTTTGAACTTATCATATGGTACCTTGCCTCTATGAATTTTGTGTGGGCCTGAAATGTCTCCCTTTCTGCTTCTCCTCGCTTTCAGAATCCCTTTTCTCTAAGGCTCAGCTTGGATGTCACTTCCTTCAAGAAGTTTTTCTTGATAGCCCAGCTCAAAGAGATCACTTCCTCAAATTTTCCTATGATATTTTGCCAATACCTTCCTTGATAAGGGTAACACCTACTTTGCATTATAATTATTTGTGTACATGTTGAATCCCCAAATCCCAGTAGAATGAAACCTGCTTGAGAGCAGAAACTGTCATTTTTCTATTGTGTTTTCTATATATAACCCCTGTACATTATCTTTAGGAACAAACACTTTTTATTTCTCATTCTTTGACTATACTTGGTACTTATGTAATAAGTTCTAAACTTATCCTGATATAGTAATATATGTCTTACAGATGTGTAAAGTAAAAGCTAGGACTCCTTAACATTTATGTGTGTGTGTGTAAGGCAGCTAGGTGGTGCAAAGGATACAACGCTGGGCTTGGAAGCAAGAAGACTCATCTACATGAGTTTAGATCCAGCCTCACATGTTTACTAGCTGTGTGACCCTGGGCAAATCACTTGACCCTTTTTGCCTCAGTTCCTCTTCTGTAAAACGAGCTGGAGAACAACATAGCAAACAGCTCCAACATCCTTGCCAAGAAAACCTCAAATGGAGTCATGAAGAGTCAGATATGACTGAAACGACTCAACAACAAAAATGTGTGAATATATGTGTACGCACATATTTATGAAATCCTACTTCATATAGCAACCATTAATAACAACAGTCTATAAACTTGTTGGTTAAATCCATCATTAGAAAAGCAAATGTAATAGAAGAATTACACAGAATTGGCTATTTCAGACCATATGGTTCATAAATGCTTTTTGGGTTGAACGGCAGCCACTGCCTTTCACTCATCGATTCAATCATCTGTTATAACTAGGCACCACTAGATGGCGATCTAGCCTAATTTTGAATCCATCACATTGAGAGGGTGACACAATGTAACCTGTGTAAAGTGTTTCGCAAACCCTAAAATGCTATGTAAATGCCAGGCATCATTATCACCCTCTGGGGAATCCTTTGTAATAATAATTACAATTCCCTCAGAGCCAGCCCATCATCTATGTTGTGGTGGAGAGTTAGGGAACACTGGCTAGAGTAACAAAGAAGAGACTGAGCGCCCTGAAACCACTATGGAAGCCACTACGGTTTGGCTGGCACCCTGAAATATCTGCCACTTGGGCTCTGGCAATGCCTCTGATGGGCTTACCACTCAAGACAAGATGATGCAGTTGCTAGAAGGAAGGCAGGAAGGGAAGGAGAAAAGCTTTATTAAGCACCTACTGTGTCTCAGGCACTGTGCTAAGTGCTTCACAAATATTATTTCCCATGATCTTCACAACAACTCTGAGAGGTAGATGCTGTTATTACCCTCATTTTACAGTTGAGAAAACTGAGGCAGACAACTTAAATGATTTGCCCAGGGTCACACAGCAAGTAAGTATCTGAGGCTGGGTTCAAACCACCTAGCTGCCCCTCTAGTAGCTGATACATATATAGGTATACAGATAAAATACATATATATGTATAAATACAATGTTACATATATACAGAAATGACTATATATGTATATATATACACACAATTGACAGATATATATATATGTGGTATACCATTGACAGATATACATATATATACACACATATAGATATCTATATACAGATATTGACACAATGGACGGATATATATATGTGTATCCATCTATTTATCTATCTATCTATCTATCTATCTATCTATCTATCTATCTATCTATCTATCTATCTATCTCTGCCAATTGTACACCACAGTGGAGCCTGTTTTTATCCCATTGATGATGCTGACCAGGACCAGCCCTTGTGCTGCAAACCATACTGAACTTTTCTGTCTGTAGTTGTTACATTGTGTGGGGCACATAAATTAAGTGTCTGAGCCAGATTTGAATTCAGGTCTTCCTGACTCTGGATCCAGTCCTAACTTGCCTCAGTGAATCTAGGACATAGATAGGATGGCATTGTGAGTTGACCCTGTTCAGAACCTTCAGACCTTCAGGATGACTAGTGTGACACAGTAGTCAATGGACCAAGTGGTGGTGCTTTGTGTTCTGGTACTGAAAGAAAGTGAGATACATCAGAACAGATCAAAAATGCTCAAACCTACCTACCTGGAAGAAATTCTTTGATGTAGATGGTGCTAGAACCCAAGTGAGCCACCCACAAGTACACATGAGATTGAAGATATTAGTACTTATCTACTACTTCATAATCAACCTAGAATTAGATCACGGGAGTATAGGCAAGGCCTTTCTACTTATTCTTTATCAGTTATATCCACAGTTCCAAGTTACACAACAATGTATTGCTGATCAGTACATGGCAATGTTAAAAAAGAACTTAATTCCTAAGTGCAGATTATATGATAGAAGAGCATTCATTGAGAAGTTAATTAAATCATAAAAGGTAAAAGTTGAAAAACCAGAAGGATTTGAGAAGTCTTACCTAATAATGAAATAAATGACAAAATAATACCAATATATTTTATGGTTTGAAAAGGAGGTGGAATATTGAAAATCTCCTTGGAAAGTTCAATGATAGATAGATAGATAGATAGATAGATAGATAGATAGATAGATAGATAGATAGATAGATAGATTACAAATAACTATACACAAACAACAATTCAAAAAAGTTGATATCTGCTATACCCATTATTAATAAATTTATTCCCCCATGGTATTTAATAGAAAGCATAAAAATGTTTTAGGGCCTGTACATGTGTTGAAGCCATTGTCATAGTAGTGACCATAGGAGGAAAGGTTAAGCTATCTAAGAATACTCCTAGGTACAGGCAGAAGTAGATTAAGAAAAGTATAATAGACTTATGGAAAGACATATCAATAGCTAACCAGCATGGAGAGTAGAAAACTTGAGTACCACATTTTCTGATCAAAGGCAACAAAAAAGCAACACGTGGAATGGAATCTAGAAAACAGAAGTAGGTCAGAAATTCTTGATTCTCTAAATCAACAATTCAAAGGCAAAGCCAAGAGGTTAGGACAATAATATAAGTCAAACCAATTCACGTAACAAAATAAGTAAGTCAACATAAACAAACAAACAAAAAGCAAATTTTGTGCTATTAAGATTTGAGAAGTGAAGAAATTAGAGTAGATGAAAAACCATTAGGAAAAAAGGACGATGCAGGGTATTTCTGGTCTTCTACATGGTTGAAAGAAATCTAGCAAGTTGGATCAAACATGAAACAGAAAGCTTGTGTACCCTTAAAATAATGAACGACAAAAATGGTTACATCAAGGGAGGGAGAGGATTGAAACTCTAGCCTCTCTTTACTGGAAAAGTGACAGGCCATTATAAGATTCACAGCGATTGGCTCAAATGCTTCACAGTAATACATGAGTTACAAGGCACTTTACCAGTTTTCTGTCTTATTCAAGCCTGATGCCATCTTTCTTAACAGAAGGCAGCACATATTTGTTACCAAAAGATAAGAACATCGATGTCCTCTCCAAATATAGGCCATTTACATATTTATTTACTGTATCCAAAACATTCACAGCTTGTATCATTTAATATATATAATACATATTTACATAAAAGTGGTAGAGGAGCAAAAAGACTATCAAAAAATCCCAGAACTATAAAGAACAACTTATTATCAAATTGGTGATTA